TTCTCGAATATCTATTGAACTTAATAATTATGTACTTGTAAATTATTTAAAAAATTTATATTTATAAACAAAATCAGAATAATATTGTTTATTCAATTTTACCATTATTGAACTTATAATATATAATATATAATTGAAGAGTTGAAAGGTTGTGTTTAGTTATTTAAATTCAAGAACCAAAGCTTTAGATTAAAATTAAATGTATAATGGATATAAGTATCAATTAATTTTATAAAATATTGACCTTATATCGGTACCTTATCATTATATATCATTTTTTTTTTTATTCTCGCCTTAGTAAATCAATTTATTCCAATATAATATTATTATTGAAAAGATAAGTACCTATATCTGTTTGATTTTGGTTTATCTCTGTAAATTTGTTGTGATAATTTATTTTCCTTTATATGTTTGTATATAGGTATAATATTAGTGATAGGTATATATCATATGATGATGAATTGGTATTATATTTATTCTGTTTTTGTCCAAAATGGAAATAAACAATAGCAGATTGTTATTATGTAATTGTTTCAAAACAAATTGAATATACAAAACATTTTTTCTCCTCCAATGATAGTCCTGTTTCGGTTCAACGAGTTTTAACTCGTATAATAATGGCTGTAATACGTGTGTGCGTATTAAGTATATGTATAGTATCATCTCCAGTGATTTATGTTCTTGAATTCGACCAACCTAGGAAAGACTACAATCCCGGACGACGGGGTAAACGTTCAAATAGTGTGTTATTCGAGTGAAAAAAGCAGCAAAGTTCCATCCGTTAGGCGTCCGTCCAAATCATGTTTCACTTCTCGCGAACGCATTTCGTTAAACTAGTGGACCATGCATGTATTGCCAGGATTCTCGAGACGGAGAGTCAATTACGTAGTTGTCACAAAACAGTGACTTTTAAATTATTTTCGAAGAACTTGGGTGTGAGTATGTGCACACTAGTGTATGCGTGAATACTGTATATTATACACATACTACTTGAGCATAATACAGTAGAGAGAAAACAAGCACTGTATTTTTACACAAGGATAAAGCAGGAAACGTTCGTTTGAATAAACATCATGGCTGATCGGTTTCTATCCCCATCTGAGCATCCCCCAACAGCACAGTGCGCTAGGMCAAACGTATGTGTTGTGTATGTGTTTAACAGCCGTAAAAATAAAATTCTCCTTTTTCCTCTCTCTGTGCTAACGATTGCTTTGACGTACCTGAACACATTTTTTACCTTCCTTTTATTTTATTTTTATAAATTCAATCCCAGTAAGAATCTCTACGGCCTACGTGGCAATTTTAAACGCTCTGACGAGTGACGACATTTAAAAATTCGTAATTATTTCATAACCGTTTTGAATGCATTGTTTAACATTGGCGATCGATTTGAAAAAATATAATAAAATATTAAAAAAACAATAAATCAATATATAATTAATAATCATTCATCATGCTACAACGATAATATTATGTATCATTTGTATTCTTAATATCTGCAATTTACATCAAATTAATATTTTTTTTTCTATCATTAGCTATCTTAAAACTAAAGCAATTATTATAATTTTTTTTGTTGTTATTGTTTCAGTTGTTGTTGTCGTTAAAACGAAGAAGGAACCAACACGGTAAGTCAAAACATAAGTTATTATCTTTACCACRCGTACTATAGTCATTATAAGTATTATTATTACAAAAATATCGACGTGTATCTTGTACATTATTATTAATATTATTATAATCATAATCAYCAACACTAACCATTGTCATTATCATTATCGTCATCGTTGTCGTTGTTATGGAGAGGAATTTATACTAGTTATTCGTGAGAGGCATATAAATTACGTGATCCCAAAATATTGTCCTCTCCTCTCTTTCTCGCCATCTCTCATTGTGTGTGTGTTTTTCTCTCTCTCTCACACACACACACTATCTCTCTCACTCACTCTTTTTATAACGTGAATGTTTTAAACTACCGATAAATTAGTCGTGATCGTCGCCAAATGACATTATGGMATTTGAAACTGGAGACTACGAGCTACAAGGGATAGACCTTTGAAAATACGGTAATAAATGCCGCTGGACAATGCATTGCTTCACCAGCGATATTCAGTCGTGACGTTAACCGCTTTATTATATCATTATACGCATAACGTCCATATTTTACTTATAATAACAGCACTTATGAGTAGCTCATTATTTTAGTTTTGTTATGCGATGAGTGTGTATTGGCGTAACTGTTAGTTAATAAACTTATATATATATATATATACATATATATATAACATTGATAGATGATACCCGAATAAATATCGCTCATCAAAAAAGTATAGAAAAAAAATGTATTTAATTTACACATTTATATGGTATAGTTAAAGAAAAACGATATTAGATATACTGATAAATATTGTTCGTGCTAAATTTGTCAATGTATATTGGAAGTTGAGTGTTTTAACCACAACGTTTCTGGGTGGGAACACAGTTTTAATATGGTTATTTTACCACTATTCTAATCATAATAAAAAAAAATTTAAAAACAAACATTATGTTTATTTTTAATCAGATTACTACATTTTATAGATCAATATCGTTAACAAATATATGTTGTTCGTTATAATTTACAACTTATAAATTACTAAATGGTTATTTATATTTGTTAGCGTTTTTGTTTGAATTCAAAAGTACTCTGATTTAAACATCACATTGATGAAAATTTACTTTGCAATAAAAACATTTAATGAAGTAAATATTAATTGTATTTTTTTTTTCAAAAAGTATTTTATTTGAGTTTTATATTGTTTATATTGTGAATGTTAAATCGTATTTAATCGTATTTAAAATATAATGGGTAGGTACCTATTTATAGAATATAGGTTGATATTTGTGGGATTTTTTTATTTATAAATTATGACTTGAATTAAAAATACACATTTTTTCTTAAGTTTTCAGGAAGCATAACTAGTATATATATTGTTAACATGTTTTTGATATAGGTGACTAAAATTATGATTAAGCGAAAAAAAATATTTCACTCTTATGTATAATTAAATCATTCAAATATTTCGTTCAAAATGTTCTACTTGAAATTCCAAAGAAAAATTTATAAATCAAGAACTATTTTTTTTTAATTAATAAAAAAAACTATAGTAATAGATAAATATTTCATAAAACATAAACGTTTAAAACATTTAATATTTATGAACATGCATGAATTCAAAGAAAACATTTATAATATAACTATTTGTTCCCTTAGAATAAAATTAGTTATTTTAAGTTATTTATCTTATAATATTTTAATATCAGAAATATAATTAGAAATCTATAAATATTAATATAATRACATATCTACATATCCCTAATTAATATACACAATACAAAAATATATGATATGCATATGATAAACTTAAATTTTTCTGAACTCGTCAGTAAAAAATAATCCAAAAAAAGTGTTCATAAAGTTAATGAAAGCACTTAGTCAAATATTATCTAGCAATCATATTTTGTAAAAAAGTTTACTAGTATTTTCAGGTCTATGTTCGCATTAAATTTGTTATGCATAATACTTGTATGAATAAAAAAATATGAATATTATGTATTAAAAATGTCTGTGATGTATATAGTAGGTGCAATCCCATAATTTTTTTCTAGAGGCTTACAGCTTGTTCAAAAGAAAAAAAAATAATGATAAATAAGTAGTAAAACACTTCCTGAGTACTATAATATTATTACAGCTTCCTTTTTTTAATTTCAACTGTTTATGTAATTTAACCTTTATTATGCCCTATAAACGTAATGATACATTTCATTGAGATTCAAAAAAAATTTTGGCGATGAGCTTATGCAATTAAATTCGGCTTATAATCTTTAATGTATATTATGTATTGGTGTACGCATTCAAGATGCAACACACAACACATACTATCGCGTGCGGTTTGGTTAACAATAGACGTTTAAATACGCAGTTCTGTACATTAGTCGCATTTATATTATAGTATCAAAGTTTGTATCCATAAAATAATTAATAACAGCTAAAATCAAAATTTATGATTTTACTCTACTATACAATGAATACAATGACTCGTTGTCTTGAAACTGCTGTCGTGTCATAATAGTATATACAGTGTAAATTATGCCATATGTACCTCTCTGTAATGTTTCACGTCAGATTCTTAATGCCATAATTTAAACATTTAGTCTCAGTCAATTTATCTTGGAGGAACTTTACTATATAACCAGCGCTAATTTCAACTTTCTTTGTTGATTGATCATTTGTAAAAATKATTGTGTCTGATGAAAGTTGAAATCTAAAAAAATATAGTACCTATCTACCTATATAATGCAACAAAAAAACTAAAATCCATTTGTTTCACTGTTAATTTTTTATGGATTATTATTTAAGACAAAGGTTTGTTTATTTACCGAGGTTTTGAAATAAACAATTATTTTTCTTCTTGAAACATTTCCTCTTTTCATTTAGGATTATAGCTTGTTCTGACCCTTGCCGACTTAAACGTATTCTGCAATTGTTTTAATGTTTTTCTTGTGTTTTTTTTTGTTGTAAACATCCTAACACACTTCACAATAATACAATTGTTTCCGAAATACATTAAATGGACAGCCTTGCTTGGACGTAGGGATATGATAATGTTAAATTTCATTAATTGCCCGTTGACAACTCTAATTGATTATCATCATACCATAAGCGTATAACCATTTAATTTAACTTTGAAGTACCTTCTCATACTTAATATGTTTCACAAGTACCAAACTACTATTACAATTTATATCTATCACTCGTATGTTATACCTTTATAGTTTCTTATATTATACATTTTGATAACAAGCAATCGATAATTTATTTAATAAATAAAATCTATTTTCTTTTTTAAATGTTAACAATTGTTTTCAAGTGCCATCTAGCATATTACTATATTATTCGAAATGCATTATATTAAATGTTAAATCACGGATGCTATTATATGATATTATTGTCTATTTTCAAAACCGGGAACAAAACAGATCAAAGATGTCTATAACGCCTATTATCGACGAGTACCAACGTAAATATTCAGTGCACAATGCCACTTATACTCGTAGATTGCTTTGTGTTGCCCTGCACGCTGAGCATTTTTGGTCTGTATTGCCCTTTTGTTTAGTTGTACATCATCGTATACGTAAAACCACCAAGCAATTCGTTTAATCACAGGTGTTCAATATATAATTGTTTAAAATATAGAAAAACTACATACTGTGTAAGTACACCCCAATTAAAAGTATCATTTGTTATTATTATTATACTTCAATAAGTATATTTTTAATTTACGTAAATATTAAWTTTTTCGAATTCAATAAATCATATTTTATCGATTATAAGTACCTACCTGTTATACGAATAATATACTACGATAGARATACAAAGTCTATTAATAATGATATTATGTACCTAATTTACAATTAAAATACGTATGTTGATAATATTATGTACAATAACTATGGTATTTTAAATTTTTCATCGAAAATTAAAGCTACAATATTGTGCAAGTAATCATATTTTAAACTCTTCTAAAATTTATAAAATTTAAAAAAAGAAACTATATTTTTATACGTCAGTATTTAATGCAAAAATAATCAAAATTCATTATTCTGTAGATCTGATTACCTAATTTTATTTTAACACTACGTAAATCAAATTTTTTTGTGTTCACTGATTTGAAAAAAAATGAATATTATGCACAATTTATAATATTTAGGTAGGTACTACCAAGCATCAAATAGGTAATAATTTATATCCCATTTTTAGTTTATGGATGAAAATGATGATGTAC